AATGCTTTGAATAAATGCTAACTAAAATAATTTAAAAAAACTGGTAAAAAAAGGCTACGTTTCATAAAAGTTGAACAAATGAATAAAAAAGTTTTGTTGCATTTTAAAACAAAACACTTATTTTTTGGCAAGCGCTTTTTTATGTGCTCTCCAAAGTTTTTTCAGGCGTGTGGGTGAGCGTGAAAAGACTTGAGTGTGAAAGCGCTGGCTAAATGAATATATATATATATATATATATATATATATATATATATATATATATATATATATATATATATATATATATATATATATATATATACAAATTAAATGTTTTATTTAATTTTGTTATATATTTTTATTTTTTTAGGTGCCTTTAAGTCTTGAAAATTTTGTATATGATTTATCTTTTTAGATGAAGTCTTTGATTCTACATCATCAACTGAGAATATTTATAATATTCTTGGAAAGCCATTGGTTGAAAATGCAATGCGTGGTATAAATGGTATGCAAGTTTATATATATATATATATATATATATATATATATATATATATATATATATATATATATATATATATATTATTGTCAAACTTGTTAGTTTTAGTAATAATAGCAGTTTTAGTAATAGCAGTGCCCCTTTCAGCGTGATTGACACAGAACTCTTCGCAACCATTGCAACTGAGTTGGTGGGGAGAAAGAGTCGCAGCACTTTTTTGTTATAAGAAAATGTGAACGAAAGTGTTTTCAAATATCTAACTTACGCAAACTTCAAATTATGTAATAAAACATACTAAAATTTATATCAAGTTGTACAATTTAACTTTCTTTTGAAAATTGCATTGGGGCAACATCTCCTTAATTTTTATCTATAGCATTTATTTCGATTTTATAAAGTCTTATTTATTATATAGTTTTAAAATTTTCATTAGTCAGCTTGCCAGCCAAGTGGTTAGCTCGCAGAACTTCTGAAAGAAAAAGCCGTAGTATGAAGCCTACCACTGGTGACTTTTTTTTTTAATCTTTTTCGATTTTTTTTAAATACAAAATAAAACACTTTTAAAGTTTTGTAGATATTGTATACATAATGTATGTAAAGATATTATATACTATAACAAACAAAAGGATTTTTAAAAAGACTAAAAATTCACTAAGACAAATTTGTTGCGTATGTGTCATGATTGAGATACTTATGTTATTAATGTGCTCAGGTAATTAGTCCTAATAAACTGTGGATGGTCTGAAAAAAAATGATGGTATGAGACTTTATAAAGAAAAAATTTAATAAGGCAGTCCTGCTACTCCAGAAGATTCTGCTGTGGAGGCAAAAAAAAAAGAAAAGCGTAGCTACAAAAAACTTTAACACTTTATTTTAAAAATTACAAGACTTTTTTTGCTATATTTAAATTTTTGCTATAAATATATATGGTCAGATTGAAAAAATTGAAAACATATTGTGTTTAGGGTCGGATTTGAACCCTTGCAAAACGGCACAGATGACAGCGCATTAAACCACTGATCTACTGAGTTTATGCATGTAATTGAAAAACAAACCATTTTACCAATAACAATCAGTATAAGATTTTATTCTTTTACTGATTGGTAAAGCGCAGCTTTATTGCATAGCAATAAAGTTGTCTTTATATATAAACACATATGTTATATGCAAATGTAAAAAAATCCACTTATATAATGTTTTATACAGGATCGTGTGTACTCTCGAGTCCTTAATACAAGGGGGGGAGTCTTAATCCAGACCTAATAATATTTGCATCATAAAAAAGTAACCATATTTGGTGAAGACTTTAAAAAAAGTTTTTTTTAATGAAAACTATTTCTTTATAACTAAAGTGTCAATTACAAATTCACTTTATGTTACTCATTTTATTAATTTAGTTTTATCAAAAGATATACTGGAAAATGTTGTTAAAAAATAGGTTGCATAAACCTTTTAATTAATTTTTATACTAGTTTCTTCCCAACCAACAATTGTTACTCACAATTATTTTAATTTATGTTAGTTTGACAGTTTCCTTAAAAGCTTGTATAAAATTACTTATAAGACCAGTTTAGTCACATTTAAAGCCTTCTAAATGAATGATGTAAAGTAATAAATAAGCTGTAAAGTTTCAGAAAATTGTGTCAGAAATATAAATATATATATATATATATATATATATATATATATATATATATATATATATATATATATATATATATATATATATATATACACTGCGACCATTTTCTATAGGCGCATGTGGATTATGTCTTAAAAGCCTACTTAACTTCTTTTTTATAGCGTATTTCAATAAATTATAAATAAAGTATCAAAAAATAATAAAAATTATCAAAAAATAATATCAAATTTGAAAAGAGGTTAATCATAAATGAATTAAATTCAAAAGATAGCTGACTATTTTCTATAGACGCAGTTCACATTTTTTTAACAAAACTATAAAAAAAAAGTGTTTTCATCAAGTTTTTAGTACTCGATTGAATCTTCTTTGCGCTAAATTACTTGATAAATTTGTTTTGGCATACTTTCCACCAAGTTTTCCAGCACTTTTGACTCCATATCTTCCCAACACTCTGATACCGCTACTTTTAGCTCTGCCACAGAGTTATATTACTTCTGGTCAGCATAGATACGTCTTACAATGATTCCCCAGATGTTTTCAACAGGATTCAAATCTAGACTGCAAGCAGGCCACCACATTTGCTTGATTTTTTAGCTTCAAACCAAGCTTTAGTCTTGTTACTAGTCTGAATGCTGGCGTTGTCTTGTTAAAAAACAAACTTTTTGCGTCGGCATTTATTTTTAAATGGAATCAAACATAATTTTAGCACATCAATGTAATTCAGAACTTTTCATTTTGCAAGATGTAAATGCTAAATTTAACTTTCCTGTTGCACAAAATCCAAGCCAAACCATCAAAGATCCACCTCCGAAATTCCTTGTCGAAAAATATTTGGGTTCTCTCCTCAAATCACGCCAGTAGCCACTAAAACCATCAGGCCCATCAAGATTAAACTTTTTCTCGTCCGAAAAAATCACCTGGTATTGAAAACAAAAATATTCAGCTGTTTAGAGATCTTACGTATTTATGAAAATTTAATCTAAAATTTCTTACTTGTTCCCAATCGCGTGCCATGTTATCCTGGGCGAATTCCATCTGTTTCTGTTTGTGAACGGGCTTCAAATTTGGTGCTTCATTCATTTTTGATCGTACAATGTGTGGGCTGTCTTTAAGACCTTTCCTAATCGTATCCTTGCAAACATTTAAACCCAAATCTGACTTAATTGTTTTCAAACTTTTTGATGAATTTGAACAATTCTGCGTTTTTCACGGCCTAAAACCTTAGATTTCTTTGGTTTCCTCTTGATTGTAGCATAATCTGTTGGATTTTTCAAGAAAGTACAGGTAATGTGATCTGATCTCTTCAATCTTCTAGCAATTTCTCGATTTGGATTTTTGTCTCGATAATAAGCTAATATTTGACCTATTTAAATAACGGTAAGGACCTTTCCTTTTGGCATTTGGTTAAATTCAACTTAATTTCGACTCACAAAATAAAAAATACTACAGAATATTAGAAATTTGCAACAAAACTCGTAAAAACTTTAGTGCGTCTATAGAAAATTGCTCGTCAAAACTCGTAAGAACTTTAGTGCGTCTATAGAAAATTGCCACGTGAATATTAAAAATTTAATTATTTTAATACAATCAAGACAATTAATAATCAGGTGCGTAATGGATCATTGTTTTCCTACATATGCTTATTCAAAAGTACCGTTAGAACAATTTTATTACCACTGTAACACTGTAAATCTGCTAAATTCTACATGCGTCTATAGAAAATGGTCGCAGTGTATATATATATATATACATATATATATATATATATATATATATATATATATATATATATATATATATATATATATATATATATATTTAATAATAATTTTATAATATTTTATAATATATACTCTTATACACAATGCCAACTTTAGTGTTGACATTGTGTATAAGAGCATATGTTATGTTAGTAAGAAAACATCAAGTAATACAAATTCTCTTAATACAATTAATAATTTATTATTAGAAATTTTCGCAGGATTATGGTTACCAGGATCATCAGCTCGTAAAAATTATACAAAAATTTCTTGTAGTGTTAAAAACAGTTTAGAATTAACTGACAATTTACTGCCATTGCAATTTTGAAAGCGTTTTGTTCATGTTGTAAAAAAGATTCTGCAAGTACGACCATGAATGAAAGACCTGAAGGACCAGAATTCTCAAGTTCATAGATTTCGTTGTTTCACAGGAAATAAGAACGGCATAAACAAAGCTCTATGAGTTGTCTTGTTTCAGATATAGTAAGCTTGGTGGAATATTTGTAGGAATCATCTTTATTTAATTGGCCTACAAGAATTAAAGTGGCTTCCTTTAATGGTATTGATGGATACAGGTTTATTACATCAAATAAAACTTGAACCCATGAATTTGCTTTACTAATAAAATCAAAAGAATTTTACAGACATGTTTAATTTTTGTTTAAGACAAGTTGTATTTTTTGTACTAAGTTGTTCAATATTCTATAATTAGAAGTGTCGATAGCTGGTATAACTATTCTCATAGGATAAACTTTTTCAGGTTTGTGAGCTTTAACAAGACCATACATGCGAGGCGGGTATATGGAGAAGTGATCTTTTTGAATCACTGGGATATATACTTTCATATTCTGTTTTTGAAAACCTCGGTTTTTATTAGGTTGTGAGAGAAGTTTTAATTTCAATAGCATAATTTGCATAAATATTTCTGACAAATTTTTTTAGCTATTTCCATTTCCCTCTTTTTAAATAGCCGAAACAATTTTTTAATTTTCTTTAATAACAATATATTTTAAGGAAATTTATATCTTTTTTACATAAATATTTATACTTTTGTACTTCTGATTTAATAATAATAATGATAATAACTTTTATTGCTGAAATTTAACAAAATAACAATCAAAATAATTTAAATGTTTATAATGTTAAACGAGAGTGTGTAATTAGCACGCTCTATATCAGCCGGTGACTAATGTTTGCTTCTAATATATTTGTCTAATCATTTTTTGAATATTTTTACTGATGTAGGTAGCATGATAGGCAGTGGAAGACGATTCCATACAGTGGCTATTCTATTAAGAATGAAATTCTCTCAATGAACAACATTCTTTTATTAATTCCTTTTTTAATTGAATGGGATTTCTTCTGCAGATTGCTCTATTAACTCATCAGGTTTTATTATTACTTTTGACGTAGATATACACCACTTAACTTGAATGAAACCGTGGACAATTTTGAAGCACTCGATTAAATCTATGAGTTTCTTGCATTGTAGCAATTAAACCTTTTTTATCGTGGTTCATAACTTAGATGTGAGAGGCTTCTTGTTTGACTTGCTATTTTTTGAACTTTTTCAAGAACTGCTATATTGTATTTTTTGATGGATT